TATACTCATCGATACATCTTCGAGTAGCTATCATATTCCTAATTCGCTTGTCTTCTAAGTCCGTCAATCCTCAGCGCCTTTCAGCGCGAATCGCGTATCAACAAATCAACAGAGTTAGTCGATGAACCTTTGGTGGCGATCATATTTATTCAGCATATCAACTTACCTCGTGTAGCAGTTCTCAGTAATTGGAGCAAAAAATGCGAAAAATCGATGAATTAATAAACTTAATGATGATTTTCCGAGTACGTGGCCCTGTTTGCCCGTTGCGTCAAAGTGTAAGTTTGCGAAGATTGGTCCGGATTGGTGAAAGAAAGATTTGTATTAGTAACACAAAAAAACACACATATATATACACACATACACATAACGACTTTGTGCCTTAAAAATTCAGTTCAGTGCCTGTTCGTGTGTACACCATTTGTGTAGTTGGCAAACCCTGCCACCTATTCAGTAATTTCGGGATGTGCAGATTAATCTTCTTAGATTCTAATTAGATTTTTTGGGAAGAGCAAAACTCGTTATGTCAGCTCGCTCAAATTCACTCTCAGCTGTGCTATTTGATGCTATACTTCTTGATCAGAATGTTACCATAAACACTTGAAAATCACTAAACAAAAACCATAAAGAGTTTGAAATTTTTTCAGAATTTTCAACATATCGACAGCCCTCTGAGCACCAATTTTTGGCCCACCAAAGAATGCGAATATGGATTAATTAACGAGATCAATAGCTATCTTAGGTAGCATATCCGTCGTGCCCGACCGGCATCGACGGCAGCATGGCCGACCACGACAGAAGTAGCGTACCTAGGCATGCATGTACTCTGTGGTTGGAATGCTGCCTCTGCGAGCTTAGGGGGCCTACTGCCTAGCGTACGCTCTCGCCCTCAAAGCTCTTACCTAGGCGCAACTAGACCTGGCTCCCTGCTTATCTCGGAGTGGACTGCCTGGTGGCTTCCTCTGAACCGTGATATGTTCCTGTGTTATTTCATGGACAGTATAAAATCGATCAATAGTGCCACTTTATGATTCCTCATATATAATAATATACACGATAATAATATACACAGAATATCTACAAGGAATGAAATGCAACACGTAAATACGTCTCCTACGACCGATTGTGGTAAGTGGCAGAGGGACGTGTCTTCCTGCTGGGACCCTTCCGTCGGTGAAGTGTTGGGATAGGGAAAGTCGTAAGCAGTCACGACACTCCGGGCCGCGAAAAGTACGTAGCCATAGTGACTGTGTTGGCTTCTGTTTCAGCGTAGTGACTCAACGTACTGACGACTCCATGACGACAATGTAGATGTTGTTCTCCGCCTTATGTATTCTGAGCGCAAAATGGATTCATACGGTGTGTTTCTCGGTGGTCGACAGATTGCTTCAAACCTCGAGTAGAATAAGGGTGGGAAAGGGGCAAGCGATGGAACTGATTAGTGCAGGGTAGCGGACTGAGATCGGCGTTATGGGATAAGGCGATACGCGCAGACGAACGCTAATAACTAGCGGATAAATGAGTAGAAGCACTACGAATTTGGCGGTTGAGATGGGTTG